CTTTCCTTTCTTCTTCCTTTCCTCTTCCTTTGCTTTGCCTTCTTTCCTTTCATTTCCTTCCTCCTCCTTTCCTTTCTTCTTCCTTTCCTCTTCCTTTGCTTTGCCTTCTTTCCTTTCATTTCCTTTCTTTTCCTTTCCTTTCTTCTTCCTTTCCTCTTCCTTTGCTTTGCCTTCTTTCCTTTCATTTCCTTTCTTTTCCTTTCCTTTCTTCTTCCTTTGTTTTGCTTTTCTTTACTTCTTCCTTTCCTTTTTTTCCTTTCCTCCTCATTTCCTTTCCTTTCTTCTTCCTTTGCTCTGCCTTCTTTCCTTTCATTTCCTTTCTTTTCCTTTCCTTTCTTCTTCCTTTGTTTTGCTTTTCTTTACTTTCTTCTTCCTTTCCTTTCCTGCTCCTTTCCTTTCTTCTTCCTTTGCTTTGCCTTCTTCTTTCCTTTCTTTTTCCTTTCCTTTCCTCTTCCTTTGCTCTGCCTTCTTTCATTTCCTTTCCTTTCTTCTTCCTTTGCTTTGCTTTTCTTTCTTCTTCCTTTCATTAACTTTCCATCCCATCCCATTCTCCTTCCCTCTTCATTCTCTTTTCTTCCTTCCTTCCTTCCTCTCTTCCCATCTTCGCCTTTCCTCTTTCCCTTTCTCCTTTCCTGTCCCTTCATGGATGCCCACATGCAAAAGGGGTAAATATTTCTTGTTTGGTTTTGCCAGCCCTCTGCCAGCTAAAATGGAGCCCCCACCCCCAGCTGCATTTTTGCTGGCAGGACGCCGAAAACGCCCCCCCTCCTGAGCTCTGTCTTTGCTGGCAGAGGGACCGCGGGCCGGTCCTTCGCCGTTTCCAGGCTGGCCCCGTGGACCTTGAGTTTCACACCCCTGTTTTAGAGGGTTGATGAGGCCCCTTGGAGTTTTGGTGGGGGATGAAATGCCTGCAAGAGTGAAGGGAGACAGGGCGGAAAACATCCTGCAAAGCACAGCTCCTTTCAGCCGTCCCAAGAAGGCCCCCACACCCATTTGCACCACTCCGAGACACAGACAAACCTCCGAGTGGCCTCAACGGCTCTCCAGAAGGATACAAACAACCAGCTGTATAAATCCTTCCGTTCCCCACCCTCCTGTTCAGGCAACTGGGCTTTCTGGTTCTTCTTCATTCGCTTCTCATCCAAGCAGCTTCGTCAGCTCTGCCCAGATGGCGGAGGACGGAAGGATTTGTCCTCCCTTGCAGACAGCTGGTCATTTGCATCCTTGTTAAAGAGCCGTCGAGGCTCCCTGGTCTATACAGTACAAATGCAGTGAGACCTGTGCAGATCTGGAGATTGGGGAAACAAAACAGCCACTTCACAACCACATGGCACAACATAGAACAGCTGTCTGTCCTTGCAGACAGCTGGTCATTTGCATCCTTTTAGTGAGCCGCCGAGACCCCCTGGTCTATGCAGTAGAAATGCAGTGAGATGTGGAGATTTGGAGATGGGGAAACAAAGCAGCCACTTCACAACCACATGGCACAACATAGAACAGCTGTCTGTCCTTGCAGACAGCTGGTCATTTGCATCCTTTTAGCGAGCCGCCGAGACCCCCTGGTCTATGCAGTAGAAATGCAGTGAGACCTGTACAGACCCGGATATCTGCGAGACCGCCTTCTGCCGCATACCTCCCCATGGCCGATAAGATCACACAGGGTGGGCCTTCTCCAGGTGCCAACCAGACAATAATATCGGCTGTCTGGTCCCCGGGGGAGGGCCTTCTCTGTAGCCGCTCGGACCCTATGGAATGAACTACCCCCCCAGAGATCCGGACCCTGCCCACTCTCATGGCCTGCCAAAAGGCTACCAAAAACCTGGCTATTCCGGCAGCCCTGGGGCTGTTAGATAGATAGATAGATAGATAGATAGATAGATAGATAGATAGATAGATAGATAGATAGATAGATAGATAG